ATGCTGATTCAGTAGTTGTTTTTGCCAGCGCTTGTATGGCTGCTCTACTATCCGAGCAGATGTTTATCTTCTTTCCCTTCGTATCTTTGTTTAGCAGGTATTCCGTGCACTTTAGGATAGCCAGTATTTCAGCTGTAAAAACAGTTGAGTGGCTTCCCACAGGAATACTTTCCCTGTGGTTCTCCTTCGGCCCGTAGAATCCTGCCCCGAAGCAATCATTAATGCCTGACCCATCAGTGAACCATAGGTCCACATTGGGATCCCCGACTCCCTTCAGGTCAGACCAGTCTTTCCTAGTTGGTATTCGTATTTTGAAGTGCTTTACCAACTGGTATTTTTTAAGAATTCTATCTTGTTTTGAAGTGAAAGGGTGTTTCTGGAACAGGTCGAGCCTTGTGTGTCCCAATCCTGTATTTCTCCATTCTCCCTGACACTTTAGCCTGTATGCTGTGTTCCTTGCTGAGTTTACCACGGCCAGGTCCAGTGGAGGCACACAGAGTGCAATTTCTAGCGCCTCTGTGGGGGTAGTCCTCATAGCCCCTGCTGCAGCCCTTAGGTAGCTACCTTGTAGGCTTTTCAGAAGGTTCTTTGCTTCCACTTTCTCTGTTCTGGGCCACCAGATCACAGATGCATAAAGTAGTCTCGGTAACAGTACCGCTTTGTACAACCATAGTGCTATGGGAGCTTTGATGCCCCAAGACTTTTCCATGGTTCTTCTACACATCCACATGCATGTGTAGAATTTTTTCCTGCTCTCTGCAAGGTGTACTTTCCAGTTAAGTTTGGTATCTATATGTAGTCCCAAGTATTTAACTGAGGTTGTAAAGGGGATTACCTTCCCCCAGAGCTTAAGAGGCTCAATGGGTTCTGGTTTGTATTTCCTAGTGAAGACCATTATATTTGTCTTTGATGGATTAACCATCAATCCCTTGGCCTCACACCATTTTTGGACGATCTTTAAGGCATCTTTCATGCGGTCCCTTAGGGTATCTAAGAAGGATCCTGTGATCACTATAGCTACGTCATCCGCATAGCCACAGGTCAGGAACCCCTTCTTTTGTAGTTTCACCAAAAGATCATTGACTACTAGGCACCACAGCAGAGGGGACAGAACCCCACCCTGCGGGCACCCCTTGCTTGGTTTACCAGTGATACTAATATTACTTTGCGTAACTGTTAGGTTCCTCCCCGCCAGCATATCCTCCACCCAGTCTACTAGCGGTTCCGGGACCCCATGTGCAATCATTGCTTCCTTAATGGCCTTGTTCGAGGTGCTATCAAACGCCCCTACGATGTCCAAGAAGGTTCCAATAGCGTATCCTTTCGCCTCCAGCTGCGTCTCTATCTTGCCTATTAGGTGGTGTAGGGCAGTTTCCGTAGACCTGCCCTCCCTGTAGGCATACTGAGCACTGGCTAGAGGGTGGTCCGCTAATGGTCCATCCTTGAGAAACCTATCAATTAGCTTCTCCAAGGTCTTTAATAGAAAAGAAGTCAAACTGATGGGTCTATAATCCTTGGCTTTAATGTGTCCATTTCTGCCAGGCTTAGGTATGAAGACCACTCTAGTGGCTCTCCATGCTTGCGGGACATATCTCAGAGCTATGCTTGCCCTAAAGATTTTAGTCAATGGGCCTACCAGCTCTTCGAGTCCCTCCTGTAGGAGCAGAGGGAGTACGCCATCCGGTCCCGGAGCCTTATAGGGCTCAAAGGAGCGAACCGGCTACTCCACCGCTTGTGGATAAACCACCTTTGCCGCCAACGCCCAGGCCCTGGGCTTATAAACGGCCCTAGGTTGTCGTTGTTTCTCCGTGGCTGAAGAGGACTTTTGAAATCCCGGGAAGTGAACCTCCATGAGATGATTCAAAGTCTCCTCAGTTGTTTCTGTGAATTCTCCATTAGGGAGCTTGAGACAGCTCCACTGTGGGTCATTCTCTTTGCAGAGGATCTTGCAGAGTCTGGATGCTTCTGGAGCACTCTCAATCCCCTCGCAGTAACTCCTCCACCCCGTTCTTTTGGCGTCGACTATCGTCTTTTTGTAGTCTCGCTGGGCAGCCTTATGCTTTTCCCAGGCTTCCAACGTATTTACATTTTTAGCCCTATTGAAGAGCCTTCTTACCCCGGCCCTGAGCCTCGATAGCTTTGCATTCCACCATGAGGCACCGGCCGAGGCATTTCTTGGCCTCAATGGGCAATTTAGTTCAAAGGATTCCCTGATAGCGTCGCTTACGAAGCTCGCTGCGATCTCCAGGTCTTCCTTTGTATGGAATTTGGTCGGCGCATTTTTTAGCCGACTGACTAAGTCGGCTCTAAAGCCCTCCCAGTTTGTTTTCCTGGGGTTTCTCCCCTACTGTTCATCTTTCTGAAAGTTCACAAGGTCGAAGCGGATCTGTCTGTGGTCGGACCCTGAAGGTTCATTTGAGACCCTCCATCCCGCCACCAGATCCACCACACCCCTCGTGCACAACGTAATGTCTATCACTTCCTGTCTTCTAGAGTCCAGGAAAGTGGGTTCTGTTCCTCTATTTAGGATTTGTAAGTTAGTGCTCATGATGAAGTCAAGTAGGCTCTCCTCTCTTGGGTTTATGTCGGAGCTTCCCCACACCAAATGGTGTGAGTTCGCATCACAGCCCAAGAGGAGCTCTAGTCCCCTTTCCTTCGCATAAGTTACTAGTTCTATCATGTTTCTTTGGGGGGGTAGTTCCTCCGAATCGTAGGGCATGTAAACAGACCCCACTATCAGGTCCCTGACCCCTCCATCGTCTGTATTGAGTTTCAGCCTTACAGCTACTAAATCGCCGTCGCTGAATTGTGGTAATAGACAGGCATCCAGACCTTTCGCCACAATACAGGCTCTTGGTCTTTTTGCGTTGTCTGCTTTGAACAATTTACCACAACCTCCAAGGCCCTTAATGTGTCCCTTGACGAGCCACGGCTCTTGGATGAGGAATAAATGCTTTGTGTGCATCACAGCTGCGCACCTGGCTAGAACCGCCGAGGCGCTTTTGCTGTGATGCAAGTTGATTTGAGTGAAGGGGATATTAGAGCCTGCCATTGATTAGGCAGTCTCCGATCTATCCTCCTTCCTTCCTAACTCCCCCCTGCGGTCCCCCCCAGGCAACCTAACTGTCGCCTGGCTGAGTCCGCAGAAGGGTTTAAAGTTGAGCGCTTTAAGAGCACTCAACGCTCCCTCCCCAATAAGGGCAGCGAAGTGGGTGCTCGTAGCATCCCTACTTTCGCTACCCCTCGCAACCACCCAATCCGCGGCTTGGAGACCCTCATTTTGTCTGTCAAGTAGCTCTATCGCTTCCTTGACAGGCATCTTAGGGTCCTCTACATGCACTACCACTCGATGCCGCCTAGGCAGCTCATCGAGCCGCATTGCACGCAGCCGGACCCCGTTAAGGTCTATTACCGAAGTTAGGCTTCGAAGCCACCCTTCGGTTTCTACATCGGTGCAGTTAAAAATGACTGCACCGTCCCTATCTGAGGTGCCCTTGAAGGTGGGAGCTTTAGTACCCCTCGCAATGCTCAGGATACTTCCCCTCACCTTTTCCTTCAAGAGGGCAACCTCTTGTTCGTCCAGCTTTCGTTCGGGATACTCCATGGGAACCATGGCCACCCTCACTAGGCCGGATGTTATCTGGGCAAAAGTCCTCTGATCTGGAGTGATTTTAGGCCTTTTGCCCAGCTGTGCAATGCTGGGACTGGGTGTGCTCTGTTCCGATCTGGGACGTTTGCCCGTCCCAGCGGAAGCTCGCTCCCCCGTCTCCAGCGCTGCTGCAGAAGCAGAGTTCGGTTCTGGAGCGGGCTTTTCAGCGCCGCTGCTCCCCTCCATCTGCTTCTGTTTTTTGTAGCGGCGACGTGCCGCTCCACTAAATTTTTTCCGGTTTTTACCAGCTTGTGGTTGGGCCTCATTCGGCTCCTTCCCCAAGCTGCCCGGTCTATTTTCCTCAGGTCGCTCGCCACCTACTAAGGTGGCCACGCCCTGGAGGACCTCCTCATACTCTGAA